CTATGTGCTATTGGGTTCATAGGGGTAGCAGAAAGATCTGGGAGCAAAAAGGAAGCCATGTAGGCATCGACTCCTCAATGCATTGCTTTGTTTTTTGTTTTTTGTTTTTTTTAAACAACAATAACAACAAAAAAACCCAAGTAAGCAAACAAATACTGAAACTTGAAATTCTGATACGAACAGTGCTGAAGAACTTCCAACAACATGAAGATTGCTTTGTTTCCTTTGAATTTTGGCATGGAAACTAACTTTCCCTTTTCAGCAGCTTTACTCAGTTCAAGATGTTCTGCTGCTCAGCAAATGTGAAACAAAGCCTTTGCAGAGTTTTGACTCTAAGTGAATTGAAACATTGCTTTTGCACAAGGGGACACTTTGCATGAACAAGTGTGGGGGTCAAAGAGATCAGATCCCAGTCGCAGCATCTGACTGCTGAGTTCCTGAAGCAGTGCAGGAAAGTAACAGCACTGTAGCAAAAGGCAAAGTGACACTAAACAACCACGACTGAACCTGAATGTATGCAGGATCAACACCTCTCTGATAACCTTACTACACAAACTAGACTTCCCTCTCTGAAGGTTAAACAAAAACAGGCATGGTAGTGTAAGTTAAACCAATCTCTTAATAGAGAGGAACATCTTTCAGCTCACTGAAAATTGTTGGTCCCAGCTGAAAATGAATACATCTGTCATCCAAACAGCAGTTGAAGACAGCTAGCTACCTCCAGCTCTTGTTCTGTGCTGGCCATGGAGACAGCAGGGCTTAGCCTCAGTTCCCACAAGGAGCAAATTGGATTGTGGCACGCTTCGACCTTTGGATGTGTCAAAAAAAGATGCATGCTCAGCTGCGTTGGCCATGTTTTGACTGCAGGGAACATCACAGGTTCCAAGCTTTATAAATGTGGAAAATAATATGTACCGTCAATGTATGCTAACATGAAAACAAAGACCACTCCAGAGAACAAATGAAATTTACTGGATTAGTTTCTTGTTCCAGCTCTCCTGGATAAATAGCAGTGAATTCAACACCACTTTGATTAGTTACTTCAAGACAAACACTGATCAGATTGCCTTGGCAAGCACACATAGCACAACAAAAGCACAATCAGCCCTGTTTACTCAGAGCCAACGAGGATTCACTACACTTGCATTTCCCTTCCCTCCATCTTCCAGCCTAGACAGCACATCCACACTATTTAATACCCTAACTATTTAAATGCAGCAGTGCACTGTGTTCTGTAGTTAAACGCTTCCCCCCCCCTGCTGATACAGACACACTCAACAAGCCCCTGTTCTGCAGAAAGAGAATCAGATTGCACCATTGCTGGGAGCCTCAGAAAGCCCCATGTTTCAGTGCAAACTGACCCAGGTCATGGTTTTCTCCCCAAAATTCAGTAGGTTTTTCCTTTATCTTATTTGCTACCTGAACTATGTAAAATAGGATAACTGTCAGCTTTACATGAGAGACCAACTTGGAGAAATCCTCTGCATTTAACAGTCTGTCTCATGTTTAAAATGAGAATGTGTGGGGGAATCACAGAAGGAAGATCCAGATGAGAGTCAGAAAGTTTAAAAACTACAGTACTTGATCACTGCTGCACGTGTCTTCTTTGCTTTGTTTCTGATCATCTCAAAAGAGAGGATCTTACAGCACTTTACTTTATGCTTTCTCAATAAGCTCACAACATTTCATCTTGACTTAGAAGTAGATCTTCACTTTGCTCATTTTTTGTTTTAAACAAGTTACCTCTTGCAGAGACCAAATCCCTGATATATCTGAATTCAGTGGTTGTCCCAATGTCTCTTTCCATCCTCAGATCTATCTTTTGAGCTACATTATTGTTACCAGAAGCAAAATCTCCCCCAATAACTTGTTCCTCGCCCAGTTACTCAGGTTTGTTTCACTTCTTTCTACTATATTATATTGCAATCATCACTAAAACAAATAGGTCAATCTAGAATATATAGAAAGACTTAAAAACAAAACAAAACAATCTGATCAATAGCTCTGTAGACATCTCTCATTCCACCAGGAGATGCAACTTGTCTGACAGGCATCCCCACGTTGGTCTACCAGAACTGCCACTTCACAGAAGAGCAGGAAAGCCACTCTGTGCTGCGCACCTTCTCCTCGCACCACACTGACCACATCCTTCCAAAACTGGCTTGGGTCTGAAACGTTCACAAGCAGCAGTTCATTCTGCTATAAGACACATGCACACACAAATTAACTTAAGCCTGAAGTTTGTTTTTTATACCTTTTGGGGAAAACATTACACTATTAGAGTTTGTATTTCACTCACTTGCTTTACTGTGTTTTCTTTCAGAAAAAGATGGGGGTATTGCTTAGGAATCAGTTTTTGGTAGGCATGTTAACATACTAAGAAGTACTATTTTAGTTATGCCTTGCAGCATACAAGAAACACAATTCTGGCTTCGTGCTTAAATGCAAGCTATGACTCATCCTGGGCAAAGGGAAACTGTAACACATACCCATTAAATAAAAAACACAAACAATTTTCCAACATGAGGATTAATGACAGATAATAACTATAAATTAACTTCAATCTTTCATAAATCAAACAAAGCCCCTTATATAAACGTCACTGCAATCTCTTCAGACAAAAAAAAAGAAAAAAAAAAGAAAAAAACAAAAATCAGTAACATATCAGAGCAGAGAGAGAAGTCACTTCAGTATTACAGTGAGCATTCGGCACCAAATCAAGCACCTCCTTAGCAAAACCACTCCAGTGCTTATGAAATGTTTCCATACTTAAGGGGCAGCTTAAGACATTGCTTTAGTTTTTGAAAGCATATTTTTAGTTACTTTTGGACAGCAGGAGTTAGACGATCCTTCAACCTGATGCACTGAAACTCCATAGCTCTGCAGAACCGAGACTAAGTTATAATTGCTTATTCAGAAAGGAATAGGAGAGAATTGTGGTTTTGCACTCATCTCCTGCTACTGCTTGAAAGAAACTAATTGTTGAAGGGGTTAAATCACAACTTAACTGAGTAGAAGGCGGCTGCTGTTCACAGACAGGAGGGGGGGAAAAAAAAACAGAGTCAGAGACCTAATAGTGGACAATTTTGAAAATTACAGTGTGTCAATAATGGAGATAACAGTGAGCCTCAGAAGGAATAATCTCAAATAATAGGGAAAATGAGCACCTGCCAGTCACAAAGCCATTAGTATCTGGGCTTTTATTTTTGCCACAGTTAAGTCTGGGGACACTGACAAACTTAAGAATGCTGCAAATAAAACAGTGAAAATCTAACTGGGAAGCAATCTCACTGACTGGGAAAACACTGCCATGGAGTTTGAAAATAAATGTTTCCAGTACAAAACTCACTGCCCAACTGTTGATAACAAACACTGCAAACCCAATACAGCCACTTTGGGGTCTGGCTAAGTTTGCCCATGCTACAGCCTGATCAGCTGCACACATCGGTATTAAGAGATCTCACCCACAGAGTTTGAAGCTCACTGCCTGCCCCGCAAGTGTGAGAACAGAAAAAGATGGTCACAGTTCCACACAGACTGGGCCTATGTGAGAAGACCGGGGTGGTACAAGCAAAGATGGGGACAACTCTAAAGCTGCGCTCAGGGCAAGCAGCATTTGCTGTAACAATTAGATATGCAAATAAGTACACTGAAAATTAGTGACGGTTTACTGTTGCCATGGAGAAAAAGGAACCTCCATTCTGGGTACAACCCATTTTCCTTCTTTTGCTGGTGAATAAAGCTGCAGAGAGCACTGGAAAATCCACGGGCCAACACGTTTTAGCAGAACCCTACCTGAGATCAGAGAGGTCAAGGCTCAAGGGAAAGCAACATAACTGAAAAGAAAATCTCCCTGCATCACCCTGGAAAGGCAGGGCCATGACAACTCTGTAGGCTACCTCCTGTAGGAGGTACAACCACAGTCAGGGAGAAATCACCCACACCATGCGACACTGCTGCTTAGAAGGCCCAAATGCATGGGAAACAGAGGGCAACATGGTATATAGAGTACTCAGCTCCAACTCTCTTGATGCTATATGGGAAGATCCTGCCTGAATTGAAATGCACAGCTGGCCATCCTTCTAATGTCCCCATCCCATCATATGAGGGCTGCTAAAAGGAAAGAAGAGGCAATCAAGTAATTTAAACTCAGCTTTCCCACCCTGGGGGCTTCTTCACAGGAGCAGCTGGCCAGAACACTGCCTTTGTTCCAACAGCCACAAAAAAACACAAACACTCCCCCCCCTACAAATCCCTCAGAAAAGCCACCGTAAGTTTATAATGGAAACCCTGACACAACCTTAACTATAGCATCCTGAATGGAAGGCGATAATCTGATCTGTGTGTGAATTAACTCCCCTTGTCTCAATGGTATTTATCTTACTTTAACTCCTGTTACAAAAGGGTTGAGTCATATAGCAGAGCTGGCCAAGTACCAGAAGTGCAAGCTTTGCTAAAACTCCAGATTCAAGGATAAACAGGCTCAATCCTAAAACAGGTTAGAGGAAAGACTCTCCACAGGCTCGCTGCTCACCAGACCTCAGAGCCTCTGGACAATGGCATTTGCTTCTGTGCTGCAGAGATTATCACAGCCCAGCAGAGGGGCGGGAGGGAGAGGGTGCAGAGCAAATGGGCTCTGCCCTTCACTTCATGGTAACACGTATTACCCTGGGCCCAAGAAACCTGATCCCGTAGCAACCTCATGTATGGAAAGTGCCCCAATCAGATTTCACTGTGTCAGGAGAGGAACAGTATTTACTCTGCATACAGATTAGTCACAAAACTGGGTCACTTCTTGCCTTTTCAGATAGCAAAAAGAAATAAAAACAAGGCTTCTTTTTCAGATCTTTCTGTGTCTTCCTCTCAGTTTTAGAACTACGTGATGCACGGTGGTCATTCACAGCCGCCTAAGCAGATCAAACAACACCTGCATGGTAAGGTTAAAGCACACTGCACTCACCAGGCTTCATTTCTTAGAATTTGGCTCATTAGCTACTTACCGGTTCTTTTCTAGTTCGTTGTGCGTAGACCTGGAAGATAAACAAAAATTTGGATTAGCCACCTTTGAACTACGGTGCTGAGAATTCAATCTCTGAAAGCTGTACGCATCCCCAGTGGTGTATCTCAGCAATAAAGCCAAACAGCCTCCTACATTAAAGCCCATAGGTATCACCCCCCAGCCTCACTCCCTGCTGACAAGATTCCTCCCCTCCTAAGTCTATATTTACCTGATATGTACAAGTCTGGTGCTACAAAATGCAGCCAAGAGACTAAAAAGCACACAAAATTCCATAGAAAAGCAGTGATTAGAATAGAGGTCCAGAAACAGCCATTTCCAAATTATTCTGCCTCTGCTACCAGCTCAGTCCAGGGCATATCTTTGTTCAGTGTCCCTATCTACCCTGTAAAAATACTGCCATCATCTGCTAACACAGGAGCTAGTGGTGCGTTCATTTATGCACATTAAATACTTGGGGACCTTCCAGCAGCACTGGCTCTGTAAGGACAACCCCGGAGACCTTCAGCAGTCACATGCTGGATTTATCAAGCTTAGTAGAACTCCAGATATGGTCAGCATTTGGGCATGAAATAGGATGACCAGCAGCACCATGTTTGCAAACATCAGCAGTGCTGAGTGGTACTTTTAGGATGCTTGGAAACCCCTCTGGGACACAAACAGCACTGTCCCAGCAGTGGCTTGCAGCAAAGTGAGTGACCCTACAAGTGGCACTGAGACCATTTGACAAAGGAGGAGGCTTGGTCTGTATACCTGCTTACAACTTCCCCATTTACAGCTCACAGCTTGAAACTGAGACCAAGTAGAAACAAAAGGGAAACAAGCAAGTCCGTTCTCCTGTCTGTGATGACTGCAAGAGTAACAAAAACAAACCTAATCAAAAATACCTAAACTTAAAGCCTTTCAGGATTTCTAATCTAATGGTGTTATTAGAAACCTAGGTGAAGTTGTTGAGGATTATTTAAAATAGCCATTTACCCAGCATTTCCCTTTAACAGAAGGTCACCTTAAAATAAGAGTAAAAGGAGCCCAAGAGCTTAATAAAAAGGATCTATTTTCTGTAATTTGGCATCACGTTTCTTCCGGAGCTCTGAGAAGATTATCCTCTATCCCCCATCTGGAGAATCCCGCAGAGAATTCTACAATTAGGGAACTGAATGGAGGATGTGCTCCAAGGGAAACCCTGTCATAATTAAATGCTTCTCTAAAACCAGGAAGGAGGAGCACCTAACAGGTGCCAGAACCTTAGTGAGGATGACGTGTGTGTGGATGCCTCCAAAAACCAACGCAGTTGAGTCTCAGCTTGCTGAGCCTGAGAGCTGGGGGTGGAAGGAAAAAAAGAAGAAAAAAAAACAACCACCAGAGCTCAATTGTAGGACAGAAAAAAACACAACAAAAACTCAAGAGTACATCTGAGCAATGCACAGCAGCACATACGATGTTCCTAAGGCAAGACAAACTCCTAAAGTAAAGGAAACTCCCAAAGCAACCGCTTTCACCTGACCCCTCTGAAAACAGGAGGTCCCTTAGGAGTGGCACCTCAATTCAACACAACACAAATTCAGTCCAGAAATTTACCAAACCCGCACTCCCCAGAGGGGCTAAACCACCCCATCTCCACACATCTCGGGTGCAAATCTACACACTGGTGGCTGAGCTGAGGCCACCAGGGCCAACATGTTCTTTGGAACACGTTTATGGATCTTATTTACTGCACGCTCCTGCAGGAGACTTTGCAGCCTTCTTGGCTATGGCATTAGCAGTTATAAAGCCAGAGATATGCAATGGCTTGAATTCCTATATTATTTCGAGCCAATTATCAAGGCCAGCACTGAAAGAACAAAGTTTGGCCCACTGCTGTGAACAAAATTAAAACAGCAGGTTCTCCATACTCCTCTCACATATGAGACTCTTTATTACCTATCTGCCTTCTGATGAACAACACCACTGAGAGGGGTCAGAGGCTTTTCACCAAGTCAGGAAATTTATGCTGTGACTTTTAACCATATCGGTGACAGGGAAAAAAATTATTAAAAAATCACTTCCCTCAAATGCAGCTACTACTGCAGCTGAAAGCAAAGAAAAAAATCTCAGCTACACTGAATAAATCCTATGGGAACGCTGCCTCTCACCTGCCTATGCTTTGCTTAATTTTACTGGGGACACTTGGACAAATTTAATCTTTCCTTTCAACCAAGATTAGGGAAAAAAAATTAGCACTGCTCCCCAGCACCACCACCACAATTCACTGCCTCTTGTTCTCTGTGCCAGTTTTCCTTTGCTCAGATGACGGATACAGAAAAACCCTCTCTCTTCTCTGTTCATAATTCATTTTCTGTAGCTTCTGATCGAGATTAATCTTCTCCCCTTCTTTGGGGCTGCACATGTTACTAAGATTTATTTGGAGTTAAACAAGGACAGCATTGACTGCAAAAGTGGAAAAAAGCATGGGAACCTCTATTGCCACTGCATTAGAAAACAACTCAAATAGGTACAGAAACAAACGTAGCTGGCCTCTAGCTGAGATGGTCTCATCAACCACAAGCCCATCACTACACTGAAATCAAACTCCATCCCTGAGGCCAACACCAGCCCTCTGAGCAGGTTGACCAGCACAGCTGTGAGCCATTGCAACACACAGGAAACATTCAGGGTCACTCTTACAACAGCAAGGAAATGGCGCACGCAGCGCGATGTTGCTCTGCTGCTGCTGATGGTTGGGCACTGTTTGTGTCATGCAGTAAAATGAGGACACCGCTGCTGAGCATGGAGTAGAACAGGGCAAGCAGGTCTTGCCCTGCCTGCAAAGCTGAAGCCACAGCCATGCAGACACAGACAGGAAAACAAAAGCTCTCTCTCTCTCTCTCTCTCTCTCACACACACACACACACACACACACAAACACACACACACACACACACTTTAAAAGCAGGTGTCTACAGCAGTCAGTTCTTTAATAATAAATTCAAACCATCCATATTGGTAACTTTCGCTAAAAACTCAAGTGTTACATAAGGAGGAAGAGCCAGCTGAATGCATTTTGAAAACAGCTCAGGAAGAGATCATGAAAGACTTGCAGAAGCTTAACATGAAGGAGCCAAGAAAACAACAGAAATAGGAGAAAAGTTCCTACTACACTTTAAAAGACTAAAGCTGTAAGAGAGGAAACTGAAGTTTATCCATCTCTACCCCAGATACCTGGAAGTCCATACAAAATAGCAAGCAAAAAGGAAGCACTTATAAGTCATGGCAGTTCAAGGTCCCCACGAACCAACCTCTTTGCATCAGTTACTGTGATTATCCCTGCAACATTGCTACCCAAAGTTGTAGCAAGGTGCTGCTGAAACACTGAACTACCTCAACTCCCTCAATGAGACACTGCAGATCACTGAAGGCTTTACTTCACTGTCTTCATTTAAATAGAATCCCCCCCCTGCCAGTGCACAGGCAGCTGAAATCTCCCCAAGCACAGGTAAGGCAGCAGAACAGCGTCAGGGAGGAACAGGCTCTAAAGAGCAATGAATTAGTTTGTCACTTCTCTACTGTAATTAAAATCATAAAGCTGCCACATGACATTAAACACAGCTGACCTTTGTGTTTTACACATTTGATATTGATAAACAGCCCAACAAATGCACTGGCAGTATATCTGCATTTTGTTTTGATGTCTCACCGAGGTAACTTTCCTATAGGGAAAACACAACAACGAGGAGTCCTGCAGTGATGGCACTGAGACCCAAATCCTGCTGTGTGCTCACACCCAGCCTTGCTCTGGGTGTGCCTGGCCCCAGGGCAGCTCAGGGGCTGCATTTCCACCACCCAGAGCTCTCTCCAACCCACATCCTTAATCCAACACAGAACCAGTACTCATCTTCCAAGTGATATCTAACTCACTCCACCACACTCTGCTTTAGCAAGAGGTTAATCAGTAAACAAATACTCCATCTGTCTGCAAAAACTAATGCACAGTTACCTGAATCATGTTTAGCAAAACAGAAAAAACATCCAGAGCAGGGCAACCATTTTCTCTTACTTCATTCTGCCCATGCAGTCATTTCTGCATCATCATAAAAAAAAAAACAACCAGCAAAACAACCCAAATCTCCTCCTTCATTCTCCAGGCCTTTCCCACATTCTGCTTCTGTTGACCCCCATTCACTTGGCCACCAACTTCCCCTTCAATAAATGTCTTCTACCATTCTCCAAGCCAAAAATCAAACTACCCTTGTGGAACCAATGAACTAAGGTACTGCCCTTTCTTTTATGCAAGTCTTTTCACAGAAAGGACTGCTATTAGAAGCAGCCAGATGACAGGACAAAACAAACAAAAAGGAAGGCTGATTAATTGCTTTGTTCTTTTTCACATCCACCTGTGTCCACAAAAGCAAACCTGGCTGAAGAATCCCTGTGTTCTGCCAGTTGCAAACAACACTGGATCAACACTGTGAGCTATGCATGAAACTAAATGCACAAGTTGCAGGCTGGGAAGCCTGCAGGAAAGCTCTGAGAGCAGCGTGGGTTGAGGCTTTCAGCCCAATGGTAGGGCAAGTGATAGATAAGTTCACAGCTGCTGCACGAGTCAAATCTTCCTGCCAAGGCAAAGATGAGCAAAGGCTGTACCTGAGGGAGCTGTGAGTCCACCTTGCCTGGGGGAGTAACCCACCACAAGTACCAGCCTCAAGCCCAACAAGACTCACCTCAGCCTCACTTAGCAGCAAATTTAACAAAACATCTCTTTGCAAGCAACACAAAGACAAAAGGTATCTCAGTCACTGCTATTCCATGATCCTCCTACACTGTGTGGCCTCGATGTCCAAAGAAAAAGCTTCTCCACGAGGAACTGAAACAAGGAGACAGAACAGGCTGTTTCACCTGCTCACTGACGTCAGTGGAGATGCACCAGATTAACCTGGCCCCAGATTCTGGCTAGTCTTTCTGTTGCTCTTAGACTGACATGGTATCAGATTCCTCCCAAGGCTCTGATCAAAGCTGTTTTCCCAGGATCAAGTCAGA